ATTTGTCTTTGATGCATATGCTCTCAGTGTACATAAAGAAAAATAAAATAGAATACATTCATCAAGAATTGTAAGATATAATTAGTGAAAGTCATAAATTACTAATAAGCCATCAAATCATACTAGGAAACAAATAAAACAATAAAAAATTTAAAGATACAAGCAACATGGTTGCCATAAATGAAAACAGATAGGTAGCGAAGAATAATAGTAGTACAGCCTTAGTAGAAAATTTGACAGTATTGTGGGGATTAGTTGTTAAGCAGAGTGATGGAATTTGGGAAAAACTGTCCTTGTGTCTAGCTGTCTTGGTTTGCAGTGCTCTACAGCCTCGTTTTGAGGGTAGAAGTTGAAACAATTTATGTCCAGGATGCGAGGGGTCTGTAGATATTTTCATGGCCCTCTTGTTGACTTTTGCAGTGTACAGGTCTTCGATGGATGGCAGGTTGGTAACCATTGTTTTTTCTGCAGTTCTGATTATCAGTTGAAGTGTCTGTCTTGTTGGGTTACAGAACCAAACCAGACAGTTCGGGGCAAATAAAGTGAAGAAGGAAAACTGTATATCAAGGGCATCTATAATAAACAGTGGGAATTGCCATAGGGTACTGAGTTCAATTTAAGAGCTATCGGTTGAGTTCAGGCCTCTAAGGGAAAGGTTATACGTTCTTTATTCGCAAATATGTGGAAATAACCCATCCACATTATCAACTTAGATAGATAGGACTTTTAAACGAGGACAAAAGAAACCTTCTCTCTACACATGCTATTTGTGACAGTAAAAACAAAGTTAGGAACTCCAAGAACCTTAAAGGAAACTGCAAAGGAAACAATTTCATTTGGGGAAGGAAAAAAAATGGGGATTTTCTACAGGAAGACTGGAGGTCATAAAAGTTTAAGTGTTCTGGGGTGAGGAGGGGGGGGAGTCATGCCTCTGCCTTTCAAGTGATCAACATAATTTTGGCCTTAATTATTACTCAGTTTTACTTCTCTGTAAAACAGAGGACTCCTTTCTTTCTCCTCTCTACCTACTACCCCTTTTCTCTCTCTCAAGCAGAGATGGTAATACCTTGCAAATTGCCCTAACATCCAGAGGCAGAAAGATGAAGAGAAAATGCCAATTAGGCTCTTTTAATCCTTTCCTGTTTAGTTTCTCCCGTGCACTAAGAACTTTAAACAATAAAGACTATAAATGTTTTACAGCTTTTCCTAGTGACAGGCATTGTTTTTTTCTCCCCTCTTCTTATTACTCCAGCTGATTCGTCTTAGGTACTAAGGTGTCTTGCTATCAGCACGGTATATTTGCACACCCTGCCAAAAAAAATATTCTTCGCCTACAGATGGTTTCAGGTGTCCAGTCCTTGCACCTGAAAACCATTACCGCCAGAAGGTCCAGCTCTAGCTTTCTCTCTCTCTAAAAAGGTAAAGGTGAAAGTTCCCCGCACATGCCAGTCGTTCCTGACTCTAGGTGGCGGTGCTCATCTCCATTTCAAAGCTGAAGAGCCAGCGCTGTCTGAAGATGTCTCTGTGGTCATGTGGCTGGCATGACTAAACGCCGAAGACACACGGAGCGCTGTTCCCTTCCCATCAAAGGTGGTTCCTGTTTTTCTACTTGCATTTTTTACCTGCTTTCNTGGCCTCAACGACCCTCTAAAAGGATGCAAATGATTAGTAGTCTGCAAAGAGTATAAATCCTTCCATTCCCCACTATCCTGTCAGAGCTGAAGAAGCTTCTTGGATGAGAAGCGAAACATCTTCAAAAGAAAGAAAAAAAAAGAAATTCCAGTTGCCTCCTGAAAAAGCACCTTTGGGATAACCATGACCTGGATGACTAAGAATCTCTACAGACTCAATCTCTTTGCTGCATATGGAAATATAGACTTTGGTCTCAGAATTCCCGGCTAGGGAATTCTGGGAGCTGGAGTCTACAGGTCTTAAAAGTTGCTGAGATTGAGAGACACCATGCTAGAGGAGCCCGTAGGTGTCAGGCTGCGTTGAAACTCCAGAAAGCGTACAGAGAACAGCAACAGAGAGGATCATGGGAATGGAGGCTAAAACATATGATGAATGTGTCAACTGCCAAGAACTGCAGGCATGTCTGGTCTAACAAAGAGAAGATTAGGGTTGACATGATGAAATAGTCTTTCTGTCAGATAGAAGATGGGGTGATAGAGAAGAGGGGTGGGGGTGTCAATCTATTTTCTGTTACAGAGAAGATGGGGGCCAATCTATTTTCCAAAGCACCTGAGGTCAGTACAAGAAGTAATGGATCATTAAAGAAAGATCTAACCTAGAACTAAGGAGAAACTTCCTGAGCGTGAGAACAATTAAACAGTGGAATGGATTGCGTCCAGAAGTTGTGGGTGCTCCATCACTGGAGGTTTTTAAGAAGAGACTGGACAGCCATTTGTCTGGGATCATATAGGGCCTCCTGCTTAAACAGTTTGTTGGACTAGAAGACTTCAAAGGTCCCTTCCAACTCTGTTATTCTATGATTCTACACTATCAAACGCCTTGCATTCTGACCTCAATGTCTCTCTCCCGTGACTGCTGTGGGACCTCGATTTCTGTCTCTTCGGGATCATCCTCTTCATCCTCAGAAACCACTGAGTTTGAGACGATGACAGGGGTCCAGCGCAGACATTCTGGGTCCACGACTACAGGCCGGATGTTCAGTTTCAGCTTTGCCATATGGTCTTGGATAAGTTTTTCACGTCGAACAATCACAAATCTGAGGAAGGAAGGAAGAATGATGGGGAAAATTGTGAGAAATAGTTAGCTAGCTGGAGATAAATGTCAAATTCATGCTATCATCTTCTTTTAATGACCCCATAATCCCTTGTGGGGTGGAGTCTGAGCAACTAAATGGAGCCCTTCCTGTCCACAATGCGGAGTTTTATTCAGCAGATACTTTCTCATTGTGCCCAGAGAGAGAGAGAGAAATATCTGCCTCTACCTAAGATTGAACTCACTGCCTCTTGATTGTGAGGCAAGAGCTCCACCTCTAGGCCACTGCACTCCTCAGCATCATGTGCATGCTGTAAATATGTAAACGTAGGGAGAAAAAAGGTGATTGGGAGACTAGAAGCATTTGCTACTAAGCAGTGCAGCCATTGCTCACCACTGTAAACCCGTGGCCTTCAAAATGTCACAGAGACTCTGGACACGGAATTATTCCACATTGGTTGGGCTCATAATAATGCATCATCCCATATAAAGAATGGTTGCAGAAACTGGGTATGTCTAGTTTAATGAAAAGAAGGAATAGGGGGGACATAATAGCAGTCTTCCGATATCTCAGGGGCTGCCCCCAAGAAGAGGGAGTCAAGCTATTCTCCAAAGCTCCTGATGGCAGAACAAGAAACAATGGGTGGAAACTAATCAAAGAGAGAAGCAACTTAGAACTGAGGAGAAATTTCCTGACAGTGAGAATAATTAATCAGTGGAACTCCTGCCTCCAGAAGTTGTGAATGTTCCAACACTGGAAATTTTTAAGAAGGTGTTGGATAACCATTTGTCTGAAGTGGTGTAGGGTTTCCTGCCTAAGCAGTTGATTGGACTAGAAGACCTCCAATATCCCTTCCAACTAAATCTAATCTAATCTAATCTAATCCTATTCTATTCCATGTTCTGAGCTATTCTATTCTATTCTAGTCTACTCTACCCTTTTCTTTCCTTCAACTTCTCAGTCACTTCTCTGGCTCTCTAAATTCACCTTGACTTCTGAGATTGCAAAAAAAAAAAGATTCCATCCCTCTCAATAAATCTTGATAGCACAAGCTAGAAAAATTGAGTATTAAAAAAAACATTTTCCATTTTTTGGGATTTTTGCCTCTTTGAGAGTAATCCTGCCACTTCCCAAAGTCCCCCGATTCCGTGAGAGAAGGAAGGGTGATGCTCACTGATCGTTACGGAAATCAAGCATGCGCAGGTGATGAAGGGTCGAGGTGATGTCTTGAGGACAGATGCCGGTAAGTTTGCTTAACTTCTTGATGCTGATCTGCTTGTCGTTTTGGTGATAAAGGCACTCCAAGATGACACTTTTCCAATATGCCATGTAGGAAAGACGACCCAAGTCAGACAGCGGCTTCTCGGGGGATCCGGCTTGGCCTTCGCGTTTGGATAGGAGATAACCTAAGAGAAAAAAGAGAAAGCACTCAGGACCAGGTTTGGTTCACACACAACCACACTCTTCCAAGTTTACTTGGACGTTTAAGTTGAGAGCAACTAAGGGCCCATGAAAGACCACTAGTGACACCTCTGGTGGGAAGGGGATCACAAAACAAATTGTTATGGCCAACACATTGTTACTCTGGGCCTTATGAACATCAATCTCAGGGAGCTTCCCTTCAGCTCCTGCACAAAAAAATGGGATAGAAGTCTACCATATTTTTCAGAGTATAAGACACACTCCCCCCACCCCAAAAAAGAGGATGAAAATTTGGGTATGTCTTATATTCAAATGTAGCCCTGCCCACCCTTTGGCCTCCATGTGTCACGTTTTAGACTTGTTCCAGGTTGCAGGGATTGCCACAGGCCATTGCCACCTCCGTGCATTGCGTTTTCGAACTTGGCTCATTGTGTTTTCAGCCTCCGTACACCCCGTTTTTGGCCTCTGTGTGTTGCATTTTCGGGTGGTGACCGGCAGCGATGTGCTTTGGCAATCCCCGTAGCCTTGAAGGTGTCTCAAACGGAGCGTTTGGAGGCTGAAAACGTGAGGTACGGAGACCAAAATGGCAACCCAGAATAGCAGCTGCACGAACTAATGTGCTGAAGCTGACCAGGCTGTTTGTTAAGGACGCTAGCCAGATGACTACTGATGGATGCTAGTAGGCAGAGGCAGATTTCGCCCGCCCAAAAAACTAAGTGCATCTTATACTCCAGAGCGTCTTATACTCTGAAAAATAAGGTAATATGTATTAATAAATGCTACCTTCTCCACTGCTTAGTCAAGAAAGGGAGCCAGAACACCAGGAGAGATTTTCATAAAGAACTGAGATTTTTCTGGAAGACGGATGGACATGTGAAAACCATAGTGATATGGATCCCTCTAACCAAGATCTTAATTTTCAAGGACCACAAGTCATTCTTCCAAGCCACAGAGAAGGGCTTTAGCACCCGTTCTACTGAAGAATGATGTCCAGGTTGATTATAAACATGTATTGGAAGGTCCCTTCCAAGGGCGGTGCGGTGGCCTAGAGATGGAGCTCTCGCCTCACAATCAGGGAGGCTGTGAGTTCGATCCTAGGTAGAGGCAGATATTTCTCTCTCTCTCTCTCTCTGGGCACGAAATTATATCTGCTGAATAAAACTCCGCATTGGTGACAGGAAGGGCATCTTCCTGTAAATACTCAGCTAGTTCCATTCAGTTGCTCAAACTCCACCCCACGAGGGATTATGGGTCATTAAAAGAAGATGATGATGATTGGAAGGTCCCTTCCTATTCTGTTAAAATATAAATACATTTCTGCATCTGAGTTTTGTTTGTGGCCACTAGGGGACAGATATGCCTGTGATGATTAACAGCCTACCAACAAAATGCAAGAGGGCATCTACTCTCTTTCTTTTACAGTACATTCTATTCTGTCTATCGTCCGCCTCAAGATGGCAACAGGAGTCATACTTAACTTTTAATATGCTGTTGTAGGATTACTTTTTGCTCCCTTAAGTTCTTTTACTTAAAATTCTGTACTATTTCTATTAAACTCTGCGTTCTCGTCTCTTTTTTTCTGTGCCTCTCTTCGGTACACACTGACCAACTGAGAGAAAGCAGGATTCTCTGTAAGATAAAAAGGCACCTCAAATTTTGGAGGGGGGGGGGCTTACTTCTAAAAGTGGATACTTTAGAAGTTTCCCCAAGACGAAGAAGTCTGCCTCTTCTCCCAAGAGAAGCATCTGCTATTCCATTCACCTCATCATGTGAAGAGTTTGAACTCCATGTTCATCCCCAACTTGTAGGAAGGAGACTCAATGCACATTTTCAAATTATACATCATTTTATTGCCTTCATTAGTGTGTGTGTGGGGGGGGGGTGGCACAACCAATGGTGTGGTCTACATTCCACATAGGTGTATGTCATGGTGAATGTGCTGATCTTCAACCTGTTGTAAAAACCTCATTTGTCAAACCTTCTTAGGGTAAAGGTTCCCCTTGCACATATGAGCTAGTCGTTCCCGACTCTAGGGGGCGGTGCTCATCTCCATTTCAAAGCCAAAGAGCCAGCACTGTCCAAAGATGTCTCCGTGGTCATGTGGCCGGCATGACAAAACACCAAAGGCGCACAGAACGCCATTCCCTTTCCACCAAAGATGGTTCCTATTTTTCTACTTGCATTTTTATGTGCCACCGCGTCCCATACACCTTAGGGTAGGAATGAGCAACTACTGTATGGCAACTTTACGACTTGTAGACTTCCACTCCCAGAATTCCTGGGCCAGGCATGCTAGCTCAAGAATTCTGGGAGTGGAAGTCCGTAAGTCATAAAGTTCCTTTAGTTGCTCATCCCTGCCTTAAGATGTGCTCCCTGGGTGATTTGGAAGGCAAGCTACAGGCTGGATATGATTAAGTGCCAGTAACTGCTTTTTAAAGTTCCAAAGGGCAGCTCCCTGTCTAGGATGTTACAGCAGTCAAGCTCTCAATATCAGGAATATAAGTGACTGGGGAGAAGGAGCCAATGTCGCAATGATACGGACATGCGGTCTTGATGCTCCGAGACCGCAGCTGATACTTTTGCCACTGGGTAGTCCAATCGGACCTAAACCATCCCGCAGAGACAGTGAACAGGAAGAATACATCTTGCTGATCTCAGGGACATCGCAAAGTCCCTGATCGATCCNTGGTTCCTGTTTTTCTACTTGCATTTTTTACCTGCTTTCGAACTGCTACATTGGCAGAAGCTGGGACAAGTAATGGGAGCTCATTCCGTTATGTGGTGCTAGGGATTCAAACAGCTGAACTGCCGACCTTCTGATTGACAAGCTCAGCGTCTTAGCCATTGAGCCACCGGGTCCCCCTTCTTTCCCTCTGAACCCGCTCAATTTTTATTTTTTCCCAGTTGAGGAAGGCTGTGCAGATGGCTCCTCGGTAGACATTAATTAGTTCATCTTAGGCAGCACTGAAACTCCACCGTAGAACCATTTCTTGCTGGTTGTTTTTCCTTTATGTCCCTTTTCTAGGGAATTACAGGAACATGTTGAAACGTTTAGATAAAAGAAGGGTTGGGCCTACACAATTTCCCCCATCCTCATGCACTGAACTGAACCACGGCAACGTGCCAAATCATTGTTTAGCATTTTAATCAGGCAAGCAAGCCTCCTGGGTCCGTGTGCTCCCTTTTTCGTTTCTTACTTCAGTCCCGTGGATTATTTTCTTTTTAGCTTAAGCCACAATTACTATGTCCCCTAAGATTTAGGACTGCCCTTCAACCAATTATTTAATCATCTTCTAAAGCTAGAGTTTGGCAGGATTCATTTAGAAGACCATGAAAAGCATGTATTTTCTGATTTAGGTTAACAAGGGTCTACTTTTACTGCACTGGAGCTGATCTCCCTCCAAGTGATAATTTGGCGGTGTGAAAAAAAGTTTTATGATGTCTAAAAATACCTATAAATGGCGTCTTCTTCTTTTCTTTTTTAGTAAATCAACAGAGAACGATGAGTTAATTTGTTTCCTCTTCTCTCGCTCCCTAGTTTCCAAATTTGTAGTTTAAGATTAAACTAAATTTCCAGAGTTGGATGTGACATGAAGCCGGTTAATGTCCTACATTAACCTACATTACATTAAACCTACATTAAATCCTCCATTATAAAGCAGGAGTGGAGAGATTACAACATACGTTGTAAGTCTAGGAAACACCAGTCTATTAAACTGAGGTATCTTCAGAATTCAGCACACGAAACTTTGGAACTGAATGAACATTATGCAATTTAGGTGTGGATGACGTTTTATGCAAGATAAGGATGAGTTTTAATAGCTAGACACAATTTGTGTATTTAGGACCAGCAAATCTGATCACCAAATACTGAGGATAAAACAAGAAATGGCTAGTTACTGCCATCCTGCCATGCTCACAAAACTGCTAAAGAGCTCTGGCTGACAAGTGTTTAAAAAGGATGCTACAGTAGGTAAACCTTTGATCTTAACCAACAAAGCAATCTGTGTATTCCTATACCAACCTCAGGGCAAAGCAAATCCATGAGAATTTATAGATGTGCCTTACTTACGCCTCTTTTATTTCATGTTTCAAAGAAGCAATGAGTTTAACACTGCTGTCTGCAAAAGTGCTTTCACACTTACCAATATACTAGCACACAACCTGCTAGATCTATTCACAACACGGCACAACAAAAGCTTTCTGTCAGTGTATCGCATTGCACACCAGAGGAAATTCACGTTCTCCAAATGTCATCGCTTTGCCAGAGTTCACCGACTGATTTCCAGGGCTTTCTTGCAAAAAGAAGAGCCTTAATCCTGAAGGATTGACTGCTTTATCTAAGGAGTTAGAGCAAATCCAGCTAGACAACGTGTTTTCTTTGCAGTTTAAGAAAGTCTCTTTGTTTTGCCGGGGAGGGAACACAACAGGTAAATTGGAAAAAAGTTTTAATTCTACAATCTGCCTTCAATTAATTGCCCAGGTGCAAGTGCACTAACAAATACACTAGTCAGTGGAATAATAGCCTGTAAGAATACGCCCTACTGAATGCAAGGAATATCAATCCTTCCCCACCATCCTGTCAGAGCTGAAGAAGCTTCTTGGATGTGAAGCGAAATGTCTTCAAAAGAAAAAAACAAGAAAGCCCAGTTGCCTCCAGATGAAAAAACGCCTTTGGGCCCCACTGTATCAATTGCCATTTAATTCCTAGTAGGAACGGAAAATGTGTAATTGTTTTTAACAATGGGAATGAATATAAATTTATAATCTCGCTACAGAAACTGCGAATATTTGTATTTTTTCGGTCGTCAAGATTTAATTGTATGCAAAGATGCCTCAAGCAGGAATGCCGCTCACTATACCTGTGATAACAGCGCGTGAGTGTGCACCTTCCCGACAGCCCCGAAGCTTTCCTCCAACTGAACATCCGAAATAAAGGTGAAGTCCCAGTTCCAATACAACTGCTTGCACATCACAACAGCCCAAATCCCCTCCAGATGGCCCAAGTTCCATCAAAAGCTGCCAATACCCAAACTGGCTACATCCGTTGTTTGAGATTCTTCTTGTCCGACAGATTCCCCAATAAATTCAGCACGCCATCCTTGCATTTTTTACTGAGTGAATTCCCTTTTGCTCAGGTGCGGCCCTCTGGTCTACCTAGAGACGGACTGCGTCAGCTACTCAGCTGCACTTAACCCGGTACTTGCCAAAACAAACCAATTAGCAAAGTTGTAGCATGAAACAATAGATCTAATGTTTCCTAAAACCTATAAAATACATTTGCTTTCTTTCTAGCCCCACCACGAGTGCTTCACACTTCTATCTTGCTATAAAAGCTAAATTTTAGCATGTGTAGCAGCTAAAAAAATTGTTTTGAAGGTTTAAAGACATCATACATTAACAGAGATATGTATTTTGCCTGGCAGTAGCTCTTTGGCTAGTAAAATTGAGAGAAGTGCACATTTAACCAGTTCATTTAAGTTTGTATACTTTTGCATGCTTTTTACCTTTGTGTTAGTTCCAAATAAGCCATAGCAATAGCACTTAAGACTTATATACCGCTTCATAGTGCTTTACAGCCCTATCTAAGTGGTTTAGAGCCAACAATCTGGGTCCTCATTTTACCCACCTTGGAAGGATGGAAGGCTGAGTCAACCTTCAGCCGGTCAGGATCGAACTCCTGGCAGCTGGAATACAGAATAAGCCTGCAATACTGCATTCTAACCACTGTTCCATTACAACTTTTGAGCCTTTTCCCCATCTTCACCTGTAAATGCAGCCCAAATTTCCCCCTCTCTCATAGTTTTCCAATGTGGTCAATCCTTCCTTCATTAAAAGAGGATAATGTATGGCTGTGAAGGTTGGGCCATAAGGAAGGCTGAGCGCCAAAGAATGGAGGCCTTTGAACTATGGGGATGGAGAAGACTCCTGCAAGTCCCTTGGCCTGCAAGGCGATCAAACCGGTCAGTCCTAGAGGAGATCCACCCTGACTGCTCTTTAGAAGGCCAGATCCTGAAGAGGAAACTAAAGACTTTGGCCACCTAAGGAGAAGGAAGGATTTCCTGGAGAAGAGCCTCATGCTGGGAACGATGGAGAGCAAAAGAAGAAGGGGATGGCAGAGAAGGAGGTGGCTGGATGGAGTCAAAGAAGCAGTCGGCATGAGCCTTAATGGACTCCAGAGGAAGGTAGAGGACAGGAAGGCATGGAGGAAGTTGTCCATGGGGTCGTGAACAACAACGTCTGGCTATTGAATAAGTGTTCCAAAAACATGAAACATTTTAGAGGCTGACAAACCTTCTACTGAATTACTATTCCCTCCTACTCAGAAGTAACAAAGCAAGAAAACTGTACGAGGATCTCAAGGGAGCTCCCACACAACTAAGGGTGCATGAAAAAAAGAGGAGCCACAAGAAAGTGCTCAGTTAAAATGTACTCAACCCTACAGTAGTAATTCCATATTAATCCTGCAACAATCAAAACTATTATTTTCCCTGGAACTCAGTCTGCCTTATGACATCAGAATCACAGTTAATAAATTGTGCATCAGTGGTCTGATACTCAGAAAATCTTGTGTAAATGATCTCCTTCAGTTTCCTGAACGGCAGAGCCCTATGCCAGTTATCAGTTGCCTTCAGAGTCAGACATCAGTGGGGCAGAAGCAGCTGGAGCCTGTTCCCAGTGTGTGCATGCGCAGAGTTGCCAGACGAACAGCTAAAGAACAGGGGTCGACTTGGGAGTAAGGCTACAGGTGGACAATGAACAGCCCCTCCCAGAGGAAAGAAAAGAGGAGCGAAAGGGGAATGGAGTTTGCAGGAGACTTTGCTTCATTGGTTCATGACTCTCTGAGGCTCCTTGCCAAGTTCTGCAGATCTCGGCCTGGCAGCTCTCCCAGCCAGATAAGGTCTGTGACTGTAAATCCTCCTTCAAAAGACTTTGCTGGATGTGAATGAGCAGAATTCACTATAAATTAATAAAAGGGTTTTTTGTTGGGACAAGGAGTTGGCTTCAGGCTCTTGGGAAGCCTCAGTCAGAACAGTGAGCTGCTTTGACTGTGAACACATTGGATGAAAGTTGACTTGACTTTACCTGCAGTGCTTGCTCCTGAATGTCTCTGAACAGCTCCATATCTTTCTCCGCCATGACATCTGGGCCTCCTAGAAGCCACTCTTCATTTTCTTGTTTTCCATCCCAGCCATCCTGATTGTCTGAAAACAGAACATTTAGAATTCCTTGATGGATTGTCGACAATTGAAACAGCAAGTAAAGTGATTTCTCATTAAGAAATGGCTTCTGAGCATTCCCTTGCTTTTAAACAAGACAAACACATCCTCCTTAATTTTGGCAAGAGAAGAAAGTCTTACTTGGTTACCGAGAGTGCTTTTCTTTCTTCTACATCCACCCAAAACCCGTCCGCAAAACAGCCCTGCATCCTCTCTTGATTTATGACAAAAGCCTCTAGTTAATAGACAGGGTAATTCCAACTAGTTCCCAATGCTCTTTAGAGTATTATTGACTAAAATAATAAATTGCAGCAATAAATCAAGATAATGATTTGCTTTGATCTTCCTATGATAATACAGCAGGTTATTTCTAATGGACAGCTTTCAAAGGTGGTTATCGCAGTTTCTTTATAGCCGTTCACCCAGATAACCTCCCAGTTCCATAAAACACAGAGTCAATCTCTCTCTTCGCTACCTGTGGGCCAATCTGAAGTGCTTGATTTCCTATTGTCCTTTCTCCTGATCCTATATTGCTGAGAGTAGTCCACGACTTCTCCTCGGGCTTTACGCCCATCGGGGGATGGTGTGAAGAATTTGGTAAGGCCATCGATAAGCCCTTTGGTTTTCTTGTTGAATTTCAAGGTGATGCTGGCATCCCCACAGAATTCCAGACCGTCGACTTGCTCCAAGTAACCCCCATCCAATGAGCAAGTCGACTGACTGGATAAGGGGGTCTTACGCTTGCGACCCCGACCGGGTCCCGTCTGAACTTTGCTGAAGGGAGCTTTCGATCTGAAGAAATAATTGGAGAGGAAAAGAAAGGGTGTTAGAAAGAAGACAGAGAAGCATCAACCAAGCTTGCAAACAGTAATTGATTCACAGTGTGTGTGTATATGGGTGTGTGTCTGTGTGTGCATACACAAACATATATACATATATACATACATACATACATACATACATACATACATACATACATACGTGACACAGTGGCTCAGTGACTAAGATGGTGAGCTTGTCGATCAGAAAGGTCGGCAGTTCGACGGTTTGAATCCCTAGCGCCGTGTAACGGAGTGAGCTCCTGTGACTTGTCCCAGCTTCTGCCAACCTAGCACTTCAAAAGCTTGTAAAAAATGCAAGTAGAAAAATTGGAACCACCTTTGGTGGGAAGGGACCAGCATTCCGTGCATTTAGTCTTCAGCATTTAGTCATGGCGGCCACATGACAGCACTGGCTCTACAGCTTTGAAACAGAGATGAGCACCACCCCCTACAGCTGGAAACGACTAGCAGGGGGGAACCTGTGCGGGGAAAACCTGTATGTATGTATGTATGTATGTATGTATGTATGTATGTATGTATAAAGGAGTCTATGAAATGCCA